CAATAACAACAACATTATGTTCATGATATTCATGTATTTACTCTATTTATATATATTAAGCAGCTGCTATGTGCCAAGTTCTGTATTAGAATTGATAATAAAGAGAAAAAAGATACAGCCCTGCCCTGTCAAGACCCACAGTCTAGTTGGGAAGGTATGTAGGAAGAGCACCAATTACACACATTGAGATGTTCAAATTGTTCTTTGGAAGATTAACCTGGCAGGAGTGTCGTGTATAAGATGTGTGGGATAGGGGTGCATACTGCATGCAGGGATAAAGGTCTGTACTGATGAGGGCCTGAACACTGTTGGAAGCAGTGGGAATGGGAAGAGGCATGGGATGTAAGCTACTTTAGAGAAAATGTTGATGGACATAGGGCCATCTTGGTTATAGGAGATAAAGTATTTGAAGGTAACACCAAGGGCTCAAACCTGTTTAACTTGGGAGGGGGTGGAAAGAAGCAGGTCATGCATCATTGTATCCAACTGTACTTCATCACACACCTCCACTGGCCCCAAGGATTATGCCTACATCTTCATTGTCTCACCCATCCTAGAAGTACCTGAATCCCAGGCCAACAAAGCCCCAGATTCCCATTTCCTCCTGACCTTGTAGTCAGGTAATTGGGTCTGTCCCTGCCCAGGACTTTCCCTTCTTTTGTGTCTCTCTGAGGTTAAGGACAGCCCAACTTTCTAGTCTCCATCACCAGGGGAGTTTCCAAGAAGGGAAACAGAGTTCTGTTTCCGCGGTTTCCATACCTCCCTGCCTAAACTTGAACTTAGGAAAGTTAAGTTGTTCTGAAACCACAGTTTGCAAGAATACCATCCTGCTAGACAGCTGGGAGACAAGACAAAAATTCAGTTAGGGTGTAACATCTTTACAAAGGATACCCACCTCTCTGCTTTCCTTCTCACTCTCGGTCCTTACAACCCACCTCCTCTTTCTGTTCCTTGTGCACATCAAGTCCTGTGAACGCCAAGATACAGGACTCCTCAGACCTCCTCAGAGGACTGTCAGCTTTAGACACAGATCCCGCCTCACCACACTCACTTAATATCAGTGGCATTACAATTCTAGTCCTTTGCCCTGGGAAGCCTCTAGTTGACTGTACTCAAGGACCACCTCCATGACCATTTAAAACCACCTCATCTGCGGAGGGGTGGGGAGTGGGGGAGTCAGGTCATCACACCCTGTTTTGTATCTTTCTCCCTCTTCCTTTTGACTTGCTTTTTCTTTCCACCTCCATTTGTATAGCCTGTGAGACCTATGGAATATTGATTTCCCATTTCCTTCATCACATCTTTCATGTCCCTGGGGCAGCCTCCCTGCTTTCCTTTCTCATTTCTCAGCCCAGAGAGCTCCAGAGGTTATGCAGGGAAGTTACAGGTTACCCTGTTTCTCTAGCTGCACTGGGCTTCTCTGTTTTACCCTTAACTCCAATAATCTCTAGCTTTCTACTAAAAGGAAATTGAAAGCAATTCAAAGGAAGCCCCAGGGAGTGAGAAGCTGTCAGGCCCTGTTACAGTCTTTGCTATCTGCTTTAAGGCAGTACCTTACAGATAGATTCAACTGTGTTTTCCCAAGAGTAAGTGTCATTCTGATTGGAAGGAGAAGTGTTGGGAATGAGGCTAATAGTATAAAACATTTGGGTAGATAATAGTATTCATATCTGTGCTTGATTTCCAAAAAGAATTTTGAAGAGGTGCTTCCTGTGCATTTTGGCTCTGAGGGAATGGGATCTTGTTTCGGGCTTTGAAGTACCAATCTCCTTGATGCCTTGCCCACCACAGCCGCTCTGCCTGCTGGCAGTCCCTTATAGTTAGGAAGAAAGGAGCAGGTGGCTCTGTGTTTCTCTTCTGGTTTCACATCTGAGAAACTGTGCATGTAAAACAGAATATGTTCCCTTGCTAAGCAGCCAAATCGATGTATTTTAAATTAAAGGTTAAAATTACATGAGCAGCTGTACACCAATATTCTTTGCAGCACTTTTCACAGTAGCCAAAAGGTGGAAACAATCGAAGTGTCCATCAGCAGGTGAATGGATTAACAAAATGTAGTACATATGTGCAATGGACTGTTACTTCGCCATAAAGAGAAATGAAGTTCAGATGCATGCCACAACATGGATGAACCTTGAAAACATCATATGGAGTGAGATAAGTCAGTTGCAGAAGGACAAATACTGTATAATCTCATATATATGAAATAAGCAAATATATAGAAACCGAAGATTATTATAGGGGTGGGAGGGAGGAGAAAATGGAGAGTTTTTGCTTCGGGTACATTAAGTTTATGTTGATAGTGGTAGAATATCTTGGATAGTGATAATGGTTGTACAGCATGAAGAATGCAATCCATGTGACTGAATTTTACATGTAGAAACTGTTGAATTGGCGAATGTTTTGTTGTGTATATTTTCATCACAGTAAAAGAAAATTACATGGGCAGGTTCAGTTTTATAGACAAAATGTTGCTGTGATGAATCTAAGGCCATTACTCAGAAAACAGGTAAGTTGTTAATGCAGAGTCTGCTCAGTGGCCACCTTGAGAGAAAAGTGGAGGGTCCCAGCATCATGGCAGGGGATGGGGCTGAGTGTAGATGCAGGATCCTTGTTCCATCACAGACTTGCTCAGAGAGGGCATCCAGCAGGGTGTTGAGGGTGTGCTTTTATTATTTAAACAGCACCACTAGGTAGACAGCACCCAGAATGGCCCATGATAGGTGGGAACTGATTGAGGACCAGGGTATAACCCTTTTTTAAATTCAGCCTAGAGAGAAAAAGCAGTAGCAAAGGGAGACAGAGCTGGTACCAACTTCTGTGGCCTCTGCATAGGGCTAGATACTTGCTGCTACCTGTCAGCCCTTTCTGTCCCCAGAGCCCCTGCTGGGATTAAAGCTCTATTCTCTCATGACAAAGGCTCATATTCTGGACAAGGTGATGCCCTTGCTGTATAGCACAGAGAGCCAGTTTTAGGCATATTCACAGCATCCCCTGCCTCTTCCTCCCCCATCCTCCATCACAAATCTTAGGATACAGAGAAACGTTAAGATTGTGGATTTGTCTGTAAGAAATTAAAATCTTACAACTGCATTCAGATCACATGATTTTTGCTCCTGTTGCAATGTGTGCACCTGGGGTTTGTCTGCTTGCTGTGGATTTTGTTGGCTGTGACAGGTTCCAGTGGCAGCTCTATAATTGTGCCCTTATTGTACCCCACATGTGGTTATTGATCAGGAGAGAGAGTATTTTAGGAAGAAGAGAAATGTTCAGTATGACAGCATCTATGATGACAAAGGACAATAATTTCAAACATGTTTTTGAGTCTGTAATCACATTTTTGCATCTTTATTTCATAAAGCAGTCTTAAGAATGGAAAAGAAGACACATTCAAATGTTTACTCTGCCTCTCCAAGTATTTACCAAACCCTCAGAGACAGCCCGGCTGTTTCCTTTCACTTCTGGTGGAAAGACAATTTTAATTAAGGTTATTGAGTAACTGAAGACAGTACAATGTAATGACTGATCTCTGAGCTAAAAACAAACAAAAATAACCTTAAAAACAACCTTGTATGTAATGACTATTCTTGCAACTTGTGAAAACCCACACAGATAAGGCAGTTTTTAAAGAGACTTCTAACCCGAACCAATAAGGTTATAGGCTGAAGTAGACTTCATTAGATAGGTAGGTAGGTAGGAAGATGGATGATAGGTGGATGGATGGGTGGATGGGTGGGTAGGTAGCTAAGTAGATAGATAGCTGCTGTCAAATCAACTCCAGCTTATGGTGACCATATGTATAACAGAACAAAATTTTGCCCAGTCATGCATCATCCTCACAATCCCCGGTATGTTTGAGTCCATTGTTTTGGCTATTCTGCCAACTGATCTCACTGAACATCTCCCTCACCCTCACTGGCCCTCTATTTCACCAAACATGATGTCCTCCTTCAGCAATTGATCCCTTCTGATGACGTATCCTAAGCAAGCGAGTCAGACAGTGTTCTGTTATGATCCATAAGATGTTCATTGGCTAATTTTGGAAGTAGATCTTCAGGCCTTTCTTCCTAGTCTGTCTTCGTCTGGAAGCTGTGCTGAAACCTGTCCACCACGGGTGACCCTGCTAGTATTTGAAATACTAGTGGCGTAGCTTCCAGCATCATAGCAATACCCAAGTTACCACAGTACGACAGACTTAGAGACAGGTGGTACAGAGTTTGTTAACAAGTATTTAACTCATAAATATCAGTATCCAACTTTCTTTAACTGAATGAATCCCTATATGCATTTATAGTAACTCACTTATAATTTTCATGCCCGTTAGAGTTCATTTCAGAAGTAAAACCCTACCTCCTGATCACTAATTATGTGGTACAACAAAAACACAATCATAGAGCTGTCACTTGTACCTGTCACAGTAGCACAGTCCACCGCAAGCAGACACACCACAGTCACATACATTCACACACAAGCAAAAACTATGTTCTTGTGAAGAAATGATTAGATTTGGACCAGTAAAAATTTACATCCTTATAAAGCTTTAAGGTAGTGACAGGAAAGTCCATGTAATTTAGAGAAAGATTCATTGTTCTTAAGACAACACTTAGCTAACTAGGCCAATCTCAGGATGGTATTATGTGTAAAGGTGAATGACTGTATTTTTTAAACCAGTCTGTGCACATCTTTACATTCCACCAGCCAAATACGCTTCTTTAATGGCACATTAGACAGTTTAGAAAGTGCATTAAACCTTTAAAGCTCCAAGGTCACATGTTTGTAAGTTCATTTCCTGATACCAACCCTTAGTTTTGAGCCTCAGGACTTAGGGAGCAGCTTACTCACATTGATGAACATTTTGAATTCAGGCCAAAAAAAAAAAAACCCTACAGATCTAAGCTTTTAACAGAACATAATGGACTACCTATATCGCAGTCACAAGTTTCTGAAAGACCCATAGCTAATGAGGTTATAACTTTGTTCTTTCTTGCTCTTTATTCAAGGCATAATTCAATCCGAAGACAACTCAACCTGTCAAACCCAGACTTCAACATCCAGCAGCTTCAAAAACAGGAACAGTTGACTGGAATTGGTCGAATTAAACCAGAGTTATATAAGCAGAGGTCAGTGGATAATGATGATGGGAGGAGGAGTAACAGCAAAGCCTGTGGGAAACTGAACTTCATTTTAAAATACGACTGTGACTTAGAGCAGCTCATCGTGAAGATTCACAAAGCTGTCAATTTGCCGGCCAAGGACTTCTCTGGGACCTCAGATCCTTATGTCAAGATCTATTTGCTTCCCGATCGGAAAACCAAACATCAGACTAAAGTTCACAGAAAGACCCTGAACCCTGTGTTTGATGAAGTGTTTTTATTTCCGGTTCCCTACAATGACCTCGCAGCGCGGAAGCTTCACTTCTCCGTGTATGACTTCGACAGGTTCTCTCGCCATGACTTAATCGGCCAAGTGGTGGTGGATCACTTCTTAGACCTGGCTGACTTTCCCAGGGAGTGCATCCTTTGGAAGGATATCGAGTATGTCACTAATGTGAGTCCAGAATTTCTTTATTTTGGGCGATGTCTTTGTCACATGGAGATAGATTACTTACATTTTATTTTGGGACCAAAGTATAAAATCCATATCAACATATATGTATAGCTGTTTTTTAAAAAAAAAAAAAAACAGTTGCCATTTAGCTGACTTGGACACATGATGATCGCATGTCTATCAGAGTAGAACTGTGCTCCATAAGATTTTCAATGGCTGATTTTTCAAAAGTAGATTGCTAGGACTTTCTTCTGAGGTACCTTTGGGTAGACTCTGACTTTCAACCTTTCAGTTAGCAGCTGAGTGCATTAACCATTTGAACCACCTAGGGGCTCCTTATTGTTTCAAAACCTCCTTTTATCTTTCCAGAAACATATCTTTAACAATGTTCGTTTTTAAATTTCCAAGAATTATTCATGAAAGCAGTATTAAAGAACATTCTCTCTTATCCACTTCCTGACTCTTAGCTATTCCCTGAGAGATAGTAGATGTTATTAGCCCTTACCACATTTTCTTTAGAGCTTTATTAGGTTGTTTTTGCTAAATGGATCCTGGCATCTTATTAACTGTAGTCTGCAGCTAAGGGGTCATTGCCTGGCTCTCAGATCTGCCCAGTAGTAATTGCCATGATCAGATCCTCAGCTTTAACCCCAAAAGTGGAAGTGTCTGAAAAGAGTTGGCACCACATTTTTAAATGCAGAGCTTATAGAATCAAAGTTTCAAGGAGGTCAGTCTGAAAAGATGCTACAGATGTTGGAAAAATTAGTCTATAGGAAGTCAAATTCAATTTAGAGCTCAGGAGAGAGGGCAGAGGAGCTGTGTAGTGGGATCATGTATCTGTGCTTACATTTTAAACACAAGATTGGAGAGGTGATATTTTTACTCCATTTACATCTTTTTCACTATCCTGCAGAGCTGCATTGGCACTCCTGAAATAGAAAGAAAAATTGATTACTTTCGTAGGTAACTG